AAAGAAACTAAGAAGTTTATTTCAAATGCATAAGCTTATTTCTTCTTCCGCTCAGGTCAGTTATATAAAATAAGCCTAAGTCTGTGTCTAATCTATTGAAACGGATAAACAGCTGCAGCAACTGCAGTAATCGCAGTTTCATTTTTATTTTTCATCGTTATTTTCTTCTGAGGTCTCCGATACAACACTTTATCTGTAACAATTTTGACGGTATAATGCTGCTTCTTTTGGTATAATGTTCTGATTAGTTTACGGAGTGAGTGTACTGGTTGCAGCAGAATAACAATGATCTCTGCTCATCGAATATACTCAAACTCGGAAATAAACAAGTAGAAGAACAATAAAAAAACAAGTCACAGCTCTGTAAGTTAAATAAAATTTGGTAGTTAACGCTTAAACGAGCAAAATTTTTGAAGTATCTTCAAATAAGGCTGCTTGAAGTTTAAGATGAAAAGTAAGCAGTTTTTGTTTTACTTCCTTCTTGTTCACTTTAGGCTCTTATTTCTCACAGGTTTCAAAAGTTATTAAGACATTCGTTTTGGCCGTCTTGGCTCTTCTTTTTGTTTTTCAGAAAAAAACGCGGATATATCATTGAGATGCTGTTTCGTTCTTGTTGCTCTAAAATTTTAACTCCAGCTGCTGTAGTTTCCTTGAAACAGCCTCTGGGAGTGTGTTACTATTAAGTTCAGCCAGCATCATTCTCAGGGGATTAGCTCTGGAGAAGAAAGAAATTAGGATGAGCTGTATAAAAAAAAGAATGAGAACGAAGGCGAAGAAATTTAAAAGTGTTGCCAAGTTTAAAAAAAAAAGAAAAAGACAAAAAATATACAAATTTGACCAGATATGCTATGCTCTATTTCATTTTCTAGTTTTCACGTTCTTGGTCTAGCTGAAAAAGTGATAACAATGAAGTGTTGAAGACTATGTGTCCTTCTATGTTACTTCTTCTTTCCTCTTACTTATTTATTCATTTTTGGACGCTGACGTCTTATGTTACTCACAAGCCGAGGAAACGAAAGACGAAGGGGGAACAATGAAAACCAAAAAGATATATATACATACATATGTATATATATAATACATAATATATAATATATAATGTATAATATA